TCAGCCTACTCAGTGGGGATAGGAGGGTTGTCCAGGTGGACTGGGGAAGGTTCAACCTCCATAATGACTTCACTAGCTATGGTGAGGTCCATATCCTCATTTTTAACTGTGGTATTAGGTAAAGTTGAATTACTTTCAAACACTAAAGACAGATTTAGAGGTGAAAATACCATCTCATCATTCAATGACTTTACAAAGTCTGAGGAGAGCTCAACTGGAGGCTGAGTTGTGGGCTACTGATGGACTGGAGGAAGTTCATTTTCATGGGTATTTAGCTGCTGCATGAAAATCTCTTGCTGGTCTTTCAAATGTTTAAACTGCTCAAGGGACATTACGAACTTATCTGGCCCTCCTGTTGGGTTAAAGTTTCAACCTGTTAGGTGAATTCTGGAGTCATGGTTACCATGTGATTCACAGGCTTAACAGTGACATGGTGCCATGTTGAAGGCTGAACTTGATCATGACTTAGAGGAGAAGGTGTTAACTCATGATAAGCTAGAGGTTGAGTTACAACTTCATTAGGGATCTCTGAAGGCTGAGCTGGGGCCTATTGCTGTGTTGGAGAAGACTCAACTTCCTCAGGCATCTGTGGATACTCAGCTGCAGTCTCCTGCTGGGTTGCAGAGGGGTTCTCATCTTTAGTAGGCTCTGGAGATTGAACTGAAGTCTCCTGCTGAACCGGTGAAGTTATCTTCTGATGACTATGGAAGCAGAGGTGGGCCCCCTTGCTGAGTGGTGGAAGGTTTTATATTATTATCTGGCCCTGATAGCTGAGCTGTAGCCTCCTGGTGGACTGGAGAAGTTCCCACCTCTGCAGTAAGCTCTGTTGCTGTGGTGAGCTGCATGTCTGGAGGATTAACAGTGACATTAGGCAAATCTGAATGGTGAGCTTGATGGTAACCTGGAGGTGAAACTGTTACTTGATGTTCTAGAGGCTAAGCTGGGATCTCCTGGGGGCTAGAGAAGATTCAACTTCCCCAGAAGACTCAGAAGGTAGACCTGGCTACTCCTGCTTCCTGGAAAAAGGTTCAGCCTTCACAGGAGGACCTGGAGACTCAGCTGTGTCCTCCTCTTGGGTTGCAGAAGGTTTTACCTCCTCTGGAGGCTGGGCTGGAGAAGATTCAATGTCCTTGGTAGGCTTGAAAGTTATGCTAATCTCTACATGCACAGGTTTAACTACAATTTTGGGCAAATTATAATGAGCTTGATCCTCACCCTGAGTTTGAGCTGTCACCTCATGATTCAGTGGAGTTTGATCTGCACTGTCCATAGAGGACATGGAGGCCATCAGCTGTGGCCTCCTGCTGGGTCTGAGAAGATTCAACCTAACCATGAAACTCAGAAGGCTAAGCTGGCTCTTCCTGCTCACTTTGAGAAGGTTGAGACTCCACAGGAGGACTTGGAGGCTCAGCTGAGGTCCTTTGCTGGGTTGTATAAGATCTCATCTCCTCAGGGTGCTCTGGTGTCCGAGTTGGGCCCTCTAATGGGGTTGAGGAAGAGTCCACTCCTTGGGGTACTCTGGAGGCTGAGTTGCAGCTTGTTCCTGGCTTGATGCAAGTTCCTTACCTGGTTTTGGAGTTACTGTAAGCTCCACATCCAGGTTTGACTTTGACATTGGGCAAGTGTGAGTGTTGAGCTTCACTCCAACTTTTTTTTTGTTTGAGATGGACTCTCACTCTGTCCCCCAGGCTGGAGTGAAATGGCACGATCTTGGCTCATTGCAACTTTCACCTCCCAGGTTCAAGCGATTCTCCTTCCTCAGCATCCTGAGTAGCTGGGATTACAGGCATCCACCACCATGCCCTGCCAATTTTTGTATTTTCAGTAAAAACAGGGTTTCACCATGTTGGTCAGGCTAGTCTCAAACTCCTGACCTCAGGTGATCCATCAGCCTCAGCCTCCCAAAGTGCTGGGATTACAGGTGTGAGCCACTGCACCTGGCCTCACTGCAACTTTTTAATGCAACATTTACCTGATGATGTATTGATGGCTGAGCTACAATCTCTTCAGAAGCAGGTAGCTGCTGTGCTGTGGCCTCCTGCTCTGTTGAAGAGTGGAGCACCTTAAAGGACTGTGAAGGCAGAGCTGGGCCTTTCTTGCTGGGTTGAAGGTTCTACCTCCTCAGGGAGCTGTGCTAGGACTTCTTGCTGGAATGAAAAGGACTGGATCTCTTTGGGTGTCTGTGGATTTTTAGTTTTAGGCTTTAGATAGTAATTGAGAAAGCCTGACTTGCTCCGGGGGCCTTGGAGGCTCATCTGAATTCACCTGGAGTTCTGGAGGCAAGCTGCCTGGATATGGTATATCCATACTTGAATCTAAATATTCATCCTGCAAAGTTTGTTTCTGATGCTGAAGTTTTGATACAAATTGGTGTGGAGTCCCAACAACTTTAGCAAGACTCCTGTGCTGAGCCAGATCTTTCTTCAGGTTCTTGGGCGAAACACTAATCTTCATTGCTTTTGAATTCAGACTATCTAGAAGTGGAACAAGTATTTCATATGCCTGATGATATGTAGCTCAAACTCAAACTTTAGATCTACAGTTTGAACCTTACATCTGAGGTGAATAGGCCGAGCTAAGACCCAGTTCTGATCCCAGTCCCTGGGCACTCTATTCCTTCCTGATGCTCTGCTCTCCCACTTCTTTTTTTGTCTACACTTTGTGAGGGTATTCTCCTGTGGCTTGGCAGTTTCCAATTAGGGAACTCTGAAGGCTGAGCTGGGGCCTATTGCTGGGTTAGAGAAGACTCAACCTCCTCAGGGGTCTGTGGATGCTCAGCTGTAGCCTACTACTGGTTTGGAGAGGGGTTCTCCTTCTTCATAGGTTCTGGAGATTGAACTGACATCTCCTGTTGAACTGGCAAAGAGGTCTAGCCTGCTCCAATGACTCTGGAGGCAGAGGTGGGCCCCCATGCTGGCTGGTGGAAGTTTCCACATCATTAACTGGCCGTGAGAGCTGAGCTGTAGCCTCCTGGTGGATTAGAGAAATTCTCACCTCTGCAATGGACTCTGCTGCTATGATGAGCTATATAACTGGAGGCTTAACAGTGACGTTGGGCAAATCTGAACACTGAGCTTGATGCTGACCTGAAGGTCAAACTATTACTTCATGATGTTCCTGAGGCTGAGCTGGAGTCTCCTGCTGGGCTGGAGAAGATTCAACCTCCCCAGGAGTCTCAGAAGTCTGAGCTAGCTGCAATTGCTCACCGGGGAAAGACTTAGCCTCCACAAGACTTTAAAGTACAGCTGGGGTTTCCTCCTGGGTTGCAAAGGGTTCCACCTGTTCTGGAGGCTGGGTTGGGGCCTCCTGCTGGGCTTGACAAGATTCTGCCTCCTTAATAGGCTCTGACATTATGATAATCTCCACATCCACAGGTTTAACTGTAACACTGGGAAAGTTATAATGAGACTGATCCTCATCTGGAGTTTGAATTGTCACCTCATGATTCAGTGGAGTTTGAGCTACACTCTCCATAGAGGACTCTGGAAGCTCAGCTGGGGCCTCCTGCCAGGTCTAAGAAGGTTCAGCCTCCCCAGAAAACCCAGAAGGTTGAGCTGGCTGTTCCTGCTCACTGGGGGAAGGCTCAGCCTCCGTAAGAGGACATAAGAGCTCAGTTGGGGTCTCCTTCTGGGTTGCAGAAGGTTCTCCCTCCTCTGGAGGCTGGGTTAGGGCCTCCCGCTGGGCTTGAGAGGATTCTGCCTCCTTGTTAGGTTCTGAAGTTATGGTAATTTCTACATCCGCAGGTTTACCTGTAAAGTTGGGCAAGGTAAAAGGAGCTTGATCCTTACCCTGAGGTTGAACTGTCACCTCATGATTCAGTGGAGTTCGAGCTGCATTCTCCACAGAGGACTCTGGAGGCTGAGCTGGGGCCTCCTGCTGAGTCTGAGAAAGTTCAACCTCCCCTGGAAACTCAGAAGGCTGAGCTGGCTGCTCCTGCTCACTTGGAGAAGGTTCAGCCTCCACAAGAGGAACTGGAGGTTCAGCTGGGTTTCCTTGCTGGGTCACAGATTTCATCTCCTCCAGGTGGTCTGGTGTCTGAGTTGGGCCTTTAATTGGGTTTAGGAAGAGTTCACCTCCTCGGGGTGGTCTGGAAGCTGAGCTGCGGCCTGTTCCTGGCTTGATTTAAGTCCCTTACCTGGCTCTGGAGTTACTATAAGCTCCACATCCACAGGTTTGACTGTTACATTGGGCAAGTGTGAGTGCTGAGCTTCACTCCAACTTTTTAATGGAATATTTACCTAGTGATGTATTGATGGCTGAGCTACAATCTCTTCAGAGGTAGGTAGCTGCTCTGCTGGGGCCTCCTGCTCTGTTGAAGAGTGGATTCCCTCAAGGGACTATGAATGAAGGTAGAGCTGGGGCCTCCTGCTGGATTGAAGAAGGTTCAGGAAGCTGTGGAAATTGCACTGGGGCTTTCTGCTTGAGTGAAGAGGACTGATCTGTTCAAGGGTCCCTGGATTTTGAGTTTCGGGCTCTAGATGGAATTGAGTAGTCCAGCTTGCTCAGGGGGCCCTGGAGGCTCATCTGAGTTCACCTGGAGTTCTGGAAGCAGGCTTTCGGGATACAGTGTATCCATACTTGAATCTAAATACTCACCCTGCAAAGTTTGTTTCCGATGCTGAGGTTTTAATACAAATTGGTGTGGAGGTCCAACAACAACCTTAGCAAGCCTCCTATGCTGAGCCAGATCTTTCTTCAGGTTCTTGGGCGAAACACTAGTCTTTACTGCCTTTGAATTCTGATTATCTAGAGGTGCAACAAATATTTCATATGCCTGATGATCTGAAGCCTGATCTAGACCTACAGTTTGAACCTAACTTTTGAGGCAAAGAGGCCATGCTAGCGTCTGGTTTTGACCCAAGTTCCACTGGAGCCAACTCTGGGAGTCTTTCTTGCTGAGTCAGCTTGTCATTCAGATCCTGCTGTGTAGCTGTGAACTTCTCTGGCCCCAGGGGCAGCTCTCCAGCTGAATCCATGTCCAGGAATGGAACCAAAGTCTCAGTCAGGTTCCTGAGGTGAGGCTGACATCTGGGAGGAAGTAGAGGACCCCATATTATCAAAGACCCCCAAGTCTGTTGGGGGCAGGGCTAGATAAGTGCTGGGGAAATTCTGGTGGGAGATTGATGGAGCGTGAAGACCAGGGCTCAGTTGGCTTCTGGGGGTTGGAGGTCAGCTGGAGTGGGCCCTGGAACCACTCCAGAGGTTGAGTCTCCTGGGCTAGGAGCTACAATAGTTGTTGTGTGAGGAGGGGCCATGGGGCCCCTGAGAGGCAGATGAAACATGACATATGTTAGCTCCCTGCACTGAGCAGCAGTCATCATGGCAGCCCATAGAAGCTGGCGCCCCTAGCAACCGTGCGCTCCACCTCATCCATTATTTACGACATTTTTATTTAGGCAACTGTTATTAGGCTCTGGTCTAGATCCTCACAGTCACCAGAGCACTCTTATCCCACAATCCCACCCAAGCCTCCCTTCCCGCCCCACCAGAACACCCCTCCCTCCTGTTCATCAGGAATGATTTGGGCAGCAGACCCAGGTGGTCCCAGGACTCCAGCAGCCTGTTGTGGTTGGGTGGGGTAGGGGCATGACAGAGCTTCCCAAGGAAGTTACGGGACCTTGCTTCGAGATATTCAGAAGTGCTAGTCAAGTTCTGGCAGCCTAAACTCTTCCTCCTCCAAGCTGAAATCCGCGAGATACTCATTCTCCTCTTGGCCATGCTGCTTCCAGGGAGAGCAACTGATCTGCAAAATATGCACCAGCTAGGATGGCAGGCAGCCCACACATTACAGTCATTCATTCCTAAATGTTGTGATTTTTGCTAAACCTCCCAGATCCTTTGTTGCATGTTTGATAATTCACCACCCTATTAGGTAGGGGCTTCCAGGGAATAAGAGAGGACTCCAAATTTTCTGCAGGAGGGGCTTTGGGGCATGGGCAATTCAGTCTGGGAGAGAAGGCTAAACCGATTGAATAGCCCTTTGCAGTAGCCTGGGAGGAGGCTGAACTGTCATCCTGCCTTGACTTAACACAGCCATTACCCTAGAATTACAGTGCCACTCTTCAGAGATCTACCCTGTGTGCACATGTGGAGAAGATGCTTAGGTTGATAAAATCAGCATGTTAAATAATTTATTTCCTGAAATGTGACTATAACTAGAACCCAGCTGACTTCCTCCACATCCATTCTTACCTATCTTATTACTCATTGTCTGGCACAATCCCCAGCATGTGAACTCTAAGAAGGTGCTTCATCTTATTCCAGTGCCTAACATAGGCACGTGGTACAGAGTAATGGTTTTACAATGGAAGGGATTCCAAGACTCACCTCATTTAGGGGTGGATCTACTGTTATAACCAGATTTCTGAAATCAGTGCTGACTTCCTCTCACATTTCACAGAGCTAGACTTCTTAAAGCTTGAAGCTTCCTTGATGGTTTTTATTTAAATTGAATTAAAATAATTATTTTACAAGGAAAAACTTCAAAACAAAACACTTTGCAACTTTGGAGTGAAAGTTAAATAAAACACTCTAGCTCTAAATTAAGTTCCCACTGAAATAAAACATTCCATAGGTAGTAAATAATCATTGTTTTCTTTCAGAAATTAATTTAGAAACTTAATCCCTATGTAAGAACTTTCATATACAGTCATGCATTGCTCACCATGTGAGGAGGAGCTTGAGAAATGTGTCATCAGGTGATTTCACCACTGTGCTAACATCATAGTATATAATTCCACAAACCTATAGCCTACAGCACACCTAGGCTATATGGTATGGCCTATGGCTCCTAGTACTGTATGTTACTGTACCGTATGTTACTGTACTGAATGTACCATATGTTACTGTACTGAATACCAAAGGCAACTGTAACACAATGGCAGGTATTTGTGAAGGTAAACATGGAAAAGATATAGTAAAAATACTCTAAAAGATAAAAAATGGTATAGCTGTATAGGGATAGCTTCCATTACACTCTTATGGAACCATCATCATATATGTGGTCTGTTGTTGACCAAAACATCATTTTGCAGCACATGACTGTCTCATTTACAGAAAATCTTCAGCAAAATAGTCTACCCAAGATATATGGGAGGTATTGATATCCAGGTGATAAGCCATATTTGAAAGTCATTATAGTTTTCAAAAGCTGTAGTACAATCATCCTTAAGGCCGGTAACCTTCTCCCCATATCTCTGGGATCCTGTTTGAAGGGAGTTCTAAAAAGATCCGTGTTCAAGCAGCCCAGCATCCTAACTCCTGGGGGGAGACTAACCCCTCTCCTCTGTCCACAACTGTAGTAATATTCTAATAGTTCTCAGTTCTGCTCTCCAAACTTCAAATAAGGGGTCAGAACCAAGGGTCGGGACTTCAAGAAAAGCCCCAGAAATACACTGCACTCAAAAGCAGTATCACATTTTCCTAAGAATGAAACAAATTATCCTTCAAATTCTGCTGGTTGTTTTGAATTATGGTTATACTGGCTATATTACCCCTGAATTTTTATCCCACATACTTGAATTAAACCATGTAGCTCCTCTTCCCATCTGACATCTACGATCTCTTCACTGGGTCTGTACTCCACAGCTATTTTACCACTTTCTGAAATAAAGTTAGCAAGGATCAATTCAGAATCTTTTTCATTTTAAAACTTCCTGCATATAATGGTAGCACCCCATGATGAGACATTCTTTTGGTTTCTAAAAGCAGAAAACAAGGGCATTTTCCTGGAAGTTTCCTTATCCACACTTCAGTTTTTTCTCTTTCCTTTTTTTTTTTTTTTTTTTTTGGAGACAGGGTCTCACTCTGTCACCCAGGCTGGAGTGCAGTGGCATTGTCATAGTTCACTGCAGCCTGGAGTTCCTGGACTTAAGTGATCCTCCTGTCTCAGCCTCCAAAGTAGCAGGGACTACAGGTACACACACCACTGTGCCCGGATAATTTTTTTTTTTTTATTAGAGACATGGTCTTGCTTTGTTGCCCAAGCTGGTCTTGAACTCCTGACTTTAAGTGATCCTCCTTCCTTGGCCTCCCAATGTGCTGAGGTAACAGGTATGAGTCACCACATCTGGCCTCACAACTCAGTTTTTAACATATGTATGAAATAACTGTGTTTGGTTCAAAGAACTTTATGATCTTACAGATAGGAACTAAGGAATAACGACATAAAAAGTTTAAAATGTGGAAAGAAACAGGCCTTCATGGAGAAACATATTGTTGGGAAAAAAATGTGAAAACAAAAATGTTCAATCATAATATGATTAAATGGTAAGGCATCAGGTGGGGGTTAAAGTAAGTTCAAATCTGGAATAGAGACCACTGTGCTAGTAGACACTTCACATTAGAAGCAAGGGCCAGGTGTCAACTATCTGAGAACCAAAATTTCACCAGATACAATGAACAAAGCTTCTGAGAGAGAGAATATTTGAATATTTTATTGGCAGAAACTGGCCCACATACTCTTATAGACAACAGAACTTCCTTCAAGGCAAATGAGAGCCATCAGGCTTTTGGTCTAAGAAGTTTTGAGTGTGTGCAAGGGACACCTTCATATACTAGGGAGAGGTAAACAACCCACACATCTAGTTTGGTTCTTAAAGGTTGTTACTCAGACTTGACAGTTGACGACCAAGGAAGTAAGACTTTCACTAGAAGGGCTGTTGCTTAAGTTGGAAAGCTGAGAGCAATCAGGAGCACCCCTTACAAGCAAATAAAGCTCTGTGGTAACTTAATTAGGATCTCTCAGTCTCTAAGCCTTCAGGGCTGTGAAGCAGAAGAGCAACTCTGTTCAGGGACTCTTTGCTAATCAACAGGTTTCCTTTGGGCACAGCCTATAACATTCTTGCCACTGTAGAACTTAATAGGGAATACAATCAATACCATTCAATTGCATGACCACTTCCAAGGCGCACAGCAAAGCAGCTGATTATTGTATAAGAATCATACTTGCCTAATGTGTCAGTGCCAAAAATGAAAGCTGAAACGGAATTCTTGATTCAGGAAACATCATCTATTACACTCTTCAGCAGAGAGTTTATTTATTCAGAAAGAAATAAGCAATGACAATAATAGTTAATATGTCTGCTTACCTTGTAAGTGTAGTTCTGAGCTTTTACATTCATCATCTCATTTACTCTTACAATATCCCCCATAAAGTTAACTGAATTACTAACCCTGGTTTGTAGATGAAGAGACTGAAGCTTAGAGATATTAAGTATCTTCAAATCTCTCTGGCTAGAAGACCTAAAATTGCATTAAAAATCTAAGAGACCGAGTTAGGACTCAAATCTATGTGTCCAAAGCTTATAATCATTATTCTACATGATAGGCAAGCAAGTAAAGAAGACCTGGTTTAAACATTTTCTGTGGGAACTGAGGCAAGTCCTTTCACATCTGTAAACTAGAAACAATATCTGCTGTCTTTTTTTTCACAAATGTCACAAAGAACAAATTTGAGCCTGTTGCTGTGGAAGAATTTAGCAAATGAAAGCATACTATGGAGTGCTTTAGTTATCAATATTTTTATCCAATTAACTTTTCAAAATGAGTTTATTTGCTCACTGAAACTAAAGTACTTCAAGGATGAACAAGAGAGTCTTACCTAGAACCACAATCAACAGTTTCTGGAATGCGTTTGACAAAGCCTTCTGAATAGCAAGCTTCTGGGCTGTCTTCCTTTTCATAAGGCATGATAGCGGTCCTAAATCCAATCAAAACAAATGGATTTAAAATGCTTATCTGAGTAATAATTGCTATATGTTTAAAAAATAAAAATGCATCCACAATTCTTAGCTCATAATCTTCGTGATTACGGGCAGACAGCCCAAGGGTATGGTTGCATGGCTCTGTTATAGGTATATCCTGGCAGGGCCCGTTTTTACTGCCTCCACAGTAGTGCCTGTAGTCCTGGCTACTCAGCAGGCTGAGGCAGGAGGATCCCCTGAGCCCAGGAGTTTGAGGTCATAGTGATCTATGATCATGCTATTGCACTCTAGCCTGTTTCTAACAATAATAATAAATAAATAAATCTTTAGATGGTTTTGCTAAGATAACTGAAGGCTACAAGAGACACATATTTGGCTGAGCATAGTTGTTCACACCTGTAATATCAGCGCTTTGGGAGGTCAAGGTGGCAGATTGCCTGAGCTCAGGAGTTTGAGACCAGCCTGGGCAATACGGTAAAACCCTGTCATGACCAAAATAAAAAATTAGCCAGGTGTGGTGGTGTGCGCCTGTAGTCCCAGTTACTTGGGAGGCTGAGGCAGGAGAATTGCAAGAACCGGGGAGGCAGAAGTTGCAGTGAGCAGAGATTGCGCCACTGCACTCCAGTCTGGGCAACAGAGCGAGACTCCGTCTCAAAAAACAAAAAACAAAAAAGAGGTGAAAGACTATTTTAGCACAAAGCAAGTTCTTAACCAAAAGCTGAAAAAATAAACATTACTTCCTTTTTCCTCTTAAGCCTCTTGGCAGGAAGTCAGCCGTATGATTTTAAATTTAAAGGTTCAATCAGGCATCGCCACAGTAAAAATCTATATTGTAAAACAGAAAAACTCTGTCCAGGACTTCAGTAGCTCAGAGAGGGAAGGGTTTGATATGTATCTGAAAAGATAAGTTTTGCAAAGTAAGAAAAAAGAGAGATCCTTTCTACTCCAAATCCCTACCCACCTCCACCCCTAATGTAAACAAACCTTCCTCCATCTTATTCACAGGCTCCTCCACCAAGCCAATGCCAGTACTCTTGCAATCATAGGATGGCAACACCACCTCTAAAGCACAGAAGAACTTCAGGCTTTGCTTCGGAAGTGGCACCATGGTATCTCCATTCTCCCTTTCTTCAAGGTCAGAAAGCTCCTGCAGCTGTAAGGATATTTAATCTAAGATCCTTCCTAGGATCTTAATGTAGGCTTCAAAATGTTTTGTTATTAGAAATAAAAACTAAACTCCAGCCATTCAAGCTAACAGTTGAGGTGTCTTATGGCTTCAAAATCAAGTTAGGTTTGCAAAGGAACTGCTAGAGAGACACCCATTTTTTATTATAGACCACACAAATAGTGGAGAAAATTATGGATACCAGCATTCAAGTGACTGAGATTATTAATTCTAGGCAACATGCCAACTCAGACATGTCCACTTACCCTCAATGTTAAGAGGCCTCTTATATCTCCTCCCTACAATCCAGTTCCATATTTCTGTCTAAAGTCTAGGATTTCAGTGTTGAAAGGAGAGTGTGCTTAGTGAAAGAAAATTTACAAGGTTCACCTTGATGATCCTTTTTGACCATCCATTGAAACCAAAGTAGTAATTCGCCAGTTCTTGGCATTGGGAGCCGTTCAGGGGAAGGGCCTGATGTTGAACTGCCTTATGTCTGGTGCCAAGATGAACCTAAAGTCACAAGAGATAGACTCATAAATATCACAACCCATTAGAGATTTTACTTTGGACACGTGGGGATTTATCAAAACCAAGTGTACAAAGAAAATAAATTGTTTCAGTCTTCCCATTCAGTAGTTCCTGCTTGAGAATATGATCTGAAGGATAGGTAAGATGAACCTACCACCCACCCCCTCCCCAAGTTGCTAACCCCTATTTAAAGAGAAATTATACATACCTCTGTAAATTTTACAAGCAACTAAAACAACGAGATTTATCTACATTTATAAGCTTCTTTGAGAATGCAAATATCTACTGTTACTTCTTGAAATATTTTACCCATTTCTATGGATTTCTTATATCACCAGTTCTTTCTTATGTCTATTTCATTTTTTAAGTGTAGTATATTATATTCATGAAATTCAAATGACACAAATAAAGTTAAATTTATTTATTTAACTTTTGAGACACAGTCTCGCTCTGTTGCCTAGGCTGGAGTACAGTGGTGCGATCTTGGCTCACTGCAACCTCTGCCTTCTGGGTTCAAACAATTCTTCTGCCTCAGCCTCCTGAGTAGCTGGGACTACAGGCACTACCACACCCTGCTAATTTTTGTATTTGTTTGCTAATTTTTTGTATTTTTAGTAGAGATGGGGTTTTACCATATTGGCCAGGCTGGTCTCGAACTCCTGACCTCGTGATCCCCCTGCCTTGGCCTCCCAAAGTGCTGGGATTACAGGTGTGAGCCACCGTGCCTGGCCATAAAGTTAAATTTATTTGTATTAGAAATTAGTAAGAATTAACAGTAAAGTTAATTCTTTACGGATTTGTTTAAGCACCTTCCTCCATCACTGGTTTACAAGCCCCATAAGTCCCAAAGGAAACCATAGCGTATTCTTTTTTTTCATTCCCAGAACCAAGCACAGTTCTTGGCATATAATAGAGGACAAATGATCTGTTGATCGAGTGAATGGATAAAACAATGGGGCAAGTAAAAATGAAATTACTTTCTCCAACTGAAAAGGAGAAATGCTTGTTGGGAAAGAGAAATGAAGACCAGTTTTTAAATGTTGAGTGCTAATGGGGAGATTGGCCTGTATCATGAGTCACAGTGGAGACTTTCTGGACAACCAGGAAGCTTCATAAAACTCTGATCCCCTGGGTGGCACAGACAGTTGTCACCTTGGATAACCTTGTTACAGTTCTTGCTGGCAACCATTTTCCTTCATTTCACACCACTCCTGCCCCCCCACCAAAAAAAAAAAACCTTTTGGCTGGGCACAGTGGCTCATGGCTGTAATCCCAGCACTTTGGGAGGCCTAGGCGGGTGGATCACTTGAGGTCAGGAGTTTGAGATCAGCCTGGCCAACATGGAGAAACCCTCATCTCTACCAAAAATACAAAAAGTAGCTGGGCATGGTGGTGCACGCTTGTAATCCCAGCTACTTGGGAGGCTAAGGCAGGAGAATCACTTAAATCCAGGAAGCAGAGGCTGCAGTGAGCTGAGATCATGCCACTGCATTCTAGCGTAAGCAACAGAGCAAGACTCCGTCTCAAACAAAACTCCAAAAAACAAAAATAAAACCCTCTCAGGTGCATTAGGCCTTTGATTTTATTTTAAAACATTGCTGTCTTTTCTGTATTTAAAAAGGACAAAAAAGACAGGATCTAGGTGTATGTGCAAAAGTAGAAAAGAACACCTAAACTAGTTAACAGTCAGGGCGATTAGTAACCCAAGGCTCTGAATCCAGTAAAGAAATAAATCTAGTATGAATGCCCTCTCCTCTCACCTATCTATTGAGTTGTAAAATATTCCCTTCATTACTGTATCAAGTGATGTGATTTATGCTGTGAAATCCCCAAAACCTAAAGCTTATGGAATGGTCTCAATGTCCAAAGAGCACTTGAAACTCATCATTTACAAAATGATACCAAGTAAGTGTTTCATACTCTTTACCATACCTTTGAAATATTTGAGTGGCTATGTGAAATGGTCACACGTTAGAAACAGATCATTGTCCAAAAGTTAAATAATATCTCACAGGTAATCATTTCAGTTACAGGAAGTGGAACCAGGATTGAAGAGGGTGCTGAACAGGCTAAGAGGGTGTTGAACAGGCTACAGAAGTGGGGGTAGTATACCTGGAGACATTAGTAAGTAGAGTTCTCACATTTGATCAAGATTAATTCAATGAGGAATGGAATATAGACAAGAAACGGCAGCAAGATTAGCAGGAAGCAGTCAGATCAAGTAGCCAATCAGGAATGGAAACGGTCCTTGAAAAGGGAAAGGTGATTGAATTGAGGCATACAATGAGATATCATTCTGTGGATCTGAGAAAGTAAAATTGGTTGGCATGTTAATATGGAATAGGGTTTCTACAATGCCGTTTAAAGAATGTTCTCATTCTCCGAGAACTGAAGGGAGTTCCAAATAGGCAGTTTCTGAGTCATCGTGACCATGATGATGATGATGATAAAGTCTCCTTCATGTAATAGGTGGCAGAAGATGTGGTTATGCTTACACATTTTAAATTCATATAAAAGTAAATATATATGGCTGGGTGTGGTGCCTCACACCTGAGGGTGAGGCACACAGATCACTTGAGGTCAGGAATTTGAGACCAGCCTGGCCAACATGGTGAAAACCCATGTCTACTAATATACAGAAATTAGCTAGGTGTGGTGGCAGGTGTCTGTAGTCCCTGCTACTCAGGAGGTTGAGGCAGAATCGCTTGAACCCAGAAGGCAGAGGTTGCAGTGAGCCAAGATCGTGCCACTGCACTCTAGCCAGGGTGACAAAGTGAAACTCCATCTCGAAAAAAAAAAAAAAAAAGTAAAAATAGCTGGGCATGATGGTTTGTACCTAGCTACTGAAGAAGCTGAGGCAGGAGGACTGGTTGAGGCCAGGATTTAGAGACCAGCATGGGCAACACAGGGATACTCTGTCTCTAAAAAAATTAAAAAGTAAATATAAGCAAATCTATTCTGGCAAAGATTTCATTCATTCACTTATTTTTTAGAGACAGGGTTTCATTCTGTTGCCCAGGCTGGAGTGCAGTGATGTAATCATAGCTCCCTGCACCTTCAAACTCCTGGGCTCAAGCGATCCTCCCACCTCAGTCTCCCAAGTAGAAGGGACTATAGGTGCATGCCATCACACCTGGCTGATATTTTTCTTTCTTTTTTTTTTTTTTGAGATGGAGCCTCACACTGTCACACAGGCTGGAGTGCAGTGGCACAATCTCAGCTCATTGCAGCCTCCACCTCCTGGCTTCAAGTGATTCTCATGCTTCACCCTCCTGAGTAGCTGGGACTACAGGTGTGTGCCATCATGCCTGGCTAGTTTTTGTATTTTTAGTACAGATGGAGTTTTGCCATGTTGCCCAGGCTGGTCTCGAACTCCTGGCCTCAAGCGATCCACCTGCCTTGGCCTCCGAAAACATAGGCATGAGCCACTATGCCCAGCCTGATCTTTAAAATTTTTGTAGAGATAGGGTCTCACTATGTTGCCCAAGCTGAGATTTCTTAAAAAGGGACAGCATAAAATGACATGGGGTTTAGCATCAGTAGGTTGGAGTTCAGCCTCAAGCTTCCATAATTCTTGTCAGGAACCCCCCCCTTTTTTTTTTTTGAGACAGGGCCTCACTCGACATGTCGCCCAGGCTGGACTGCAACCTCTGCCTCCTGGGTTCAAGCGATTCTCCTGCCTCAGCCTCCCGAGTAGTTGGGATTACAGGCGTGCGCCACCACGCCAGGCTAATTTTTTGTATTTTTAGTAGAGATGGGGTTTCATCGTGTTGACCAGGCTGGTCTCAAACTCCTGACCTCATGATTCGCCCGCCTTGGCCTCCCAAAGTGCAGGGATTACTGGGGTGAGTCACGATGTCCAGCCTCTTGTCAGGAACCTTAAACAAGTCACTCAATCATCTTGAATTTCAGTTTCTTCATCTAAAAAAACCAGAGAACTGGAAGATTAGTGTGGCAATGCATCTGAAAATATTCTATAAACCAGAGTGCTGGACAAATGCTAACCTATTATTGAATTCAGCAGTTCATTCCAGCGGAGCTAGAAATTCCACATTTGGACCCACCTTGACAGGAGATGTCTGAAAAAGCAGCTTCCGGTCGCATGCCTTTTGGGCTCTGTGGGCAGCCAGTGCTGAATAAAACTTAATGACGGCATAGAAACCAGGTTGAGCCACTGCAGCGTTTGGGAAGACCCGGACTGAATACAGAAGGCCAAACTGGGAAAATGCTGTGAACAGAGAATGCTGTGGGGGTGGTCCCACGCCAAAAAAGCGCATGAAATCTCACGCCCGGAAAACAAAACCACACATGCCCTCATATTTCCCAAACCCCTCTTTGCGAAGGATGTGATTCAAAACACTTCCCACTTAACAGGTTTCCTCTCGAAATCCTAAACTTTAAGAAGCACTAGCAGGTAAAACGTGCTGACAGTGGAACGGTACCTCTCTGGGACTCTGAAAATCTGTTGGGGGTAGTTAGTTGTCCGTTGGGGTCCCCTCTAGAATTAAGAATCCTTCAGCGGAGGCTGAGGCAGGTGAGGTGCTGGGACAGGACTCTGGCACTCCCAGTCCGCAGGTGGGCGGCTTTCTCCATCCCTTCCTCCTCCCTGGCCCCGGCTCACATGCAAAGCTTCAGCCGTGGGTCCGGAGCTCAGCTCCCACACTAGCAAGGTTTTGTCACTGTCGGTGGGAACCGCAAAAGGTACCAACTCCGCCATCCTTCCTTCATCGCGCCTGCGCGGCTAACGCTCGCTCCAAGCACTGCGCCTGCGCAAGGCACGCCCGCGCGTTCTTAAAAAAAAAGGCGCGTTTGAGGGGCGGGGCCGGCGGTCGGATAGCTCACTCGTCCTCACTACTTAGGGCTGGCCTCTGAGTCCGTTCCGCTCCTCCAGCCACACGCCCAAGAACCCTGAAACGGGCTTCCATTCAAGTGCATGTTTACGGTAGAGTCCCAAAATGAGCTGACTGGATGGAAAGGTAGGGACAAGTTTATAGCAGCCAGCTTTATCTTCACTCCAGAAGGAGATCAGGGCACTAAGCATTAGCACTACCTACTGAGCTTGTGGGAAATAACCACAAAAGATGCAATATTTGGACTTTTAAGAGTTTAAAATATACAAATAAAATATAACTCGGCCGGGTGTGGTAGCTCACTTCTGTAATCCCAGCACTTTGGGAAGCCGAGACAGGCAGCTCACCTGAGGTTGGGAGTTCAAGACCAGCCTGACCAATATGAAGAAACCCTGTCTCTACTAAAAATACAAAAATTAGCTGGGCATGGTGGCTCACGCCTGTAATCCCAGCTACTCGGGGGGCTTAACCCGGGAGGCGGAGGTTGCAGGGAGCTGATACCACGCCATTGCACTCCAGCCTGGGTAAGAAGAGTGAAACTCTGTCTACAAAAAAAAAAAAAAAAAAACAAACAAAAACCCCCCCCCCCAAAAAACAGTATAACTCACTAAGCCATTAACAGTCTAGCATGAAATCCCTAAAAAGAATTACCTGTTTGTCCTACGTGATTCTGGTGAATCGTGTATGTGTACTTGTGGGGGTTAGACGATGTGTGAGTTTGGAGGTATGAGTGAGGAGGAGAGATTAATGAGAAAAAAATCAAAGAATAGGTCCAAATAGGGCACCAACATTGGGTCTGAAGGTGCCTGAGAAAGAGTAGCTGTCATAATCAGCTATGTGGTGGAGCAGTGTAATCACCTGGTGGATTCATGGTACCCACTGCCCAGAAAAGCTGATTTACTGAGATAGTGTTGTTGAAATAGAGTTTCATAAGCATCGAACCAGCTAAATAGAAGATTGGAGTTTTATAATTACTCAACTTAGCCTCCCTGAAAATTTGGAAGCAGGTGTTTTTTTAAGGATAATTTGGCAGTCAAGGGGTTAGGGAACAGGAAATGCTGATTGGTTGGGTCAAGGATGAAATCATAGCGAGTCAGAGCTTGTGTTCTTGTGCTGAGTGAATTCCTGGTTGGGGCCCACAAGACCAGAGGAGCCAGTTTGCCAATATGAGTGGTGCCAACTGGTCCATCAGAATAAAGCATCTGAAAAATACCTAGAACACCAGTATTAGGTTTTACAAATAGTAATGTTGTAAGGAGTTAGTTAGCTTGCCTTAAGGAGCATGGACACAAATCAAGGGATGGGTCCCCAGAGAGATCCCTGCCCACAGGGTCAGTGTCTCATCCACACATAACATAAAAAGCAGCCTGGGAAAAAATTCAAGCTATAGGCACCAATAAGGGAACTAGCATAGGATGTTGTGCCTGGAGACATGCCCACTGCTGCACAGATGGAAAAACCTCTGGCCCATTTGGATAAAAACTTGTGCAAACCTCCAGCTTACTGAGATAAAGGAATAAGACCCCTTTGTCCTTTGTATAGTTAGCAGGCTCCCAGGACAAAGTTGCTTCTCCTTTTGTGGGCATGGGCACAGTGGACTCTGGTGAGTTCTGGTGGCACTCTCCTTTTTGGGCTGTAAGTCCAGTCTCTAGAATCATCATTTCAGCCTCTGCTGATAGGTCCTGGGCCAAGCTAAACAGCATCTCAGAATTATCATTTCAGATCCTGACTGGTCTTGGGCCTAGGCTCCTGGCCAAGTTGAGTTCTCCAAGACAGCTGGTGGACTAAGCCATTGCTCCCCTTTTCCAGTCTGTGAAAACCCTGGAGCCTGCCTCATTGGGAGCACCCGTTCTGGCCCCCACTCTCTGCTGGCAGAGAGCGTTCTTCTTTCACTTATGAAACTTTCGCTCTAACCTCACATTTGTGTCCACACTCCTTAATCATCTTGGAGGTAGGACAAAGAACTCTGTGAGTTATCTCAGACAACTGGAGACTGTTATATCCTGGTGCATTGCTGAGACTAGAGCAATGTTAGTATAGGAGCAACTGGGGAGGTTAGGAATCTTGTGGCCTCTGGCTACATAATTCCTGAGCCATAATTTCTAATCTTGTGGTTAATTCGTTAGTTTTACAAAGGAGATCTGATTCCCAAGCAAGGAGGTTGTTTATTTCAGGAAGGGACTACTATCTTTGTTTCAAAGTTAAACGGTAAAAATTTCTCCCATAGTTAGGTTGGTCTGTGCCCAGGAATGAGCAAGTGCAGCTTGGAGGTTAGAAGCAAAATGGAGTCAGTTAGGTCAGATTTGTCGTAATCTTTGTAAAGGAAGTTTCAGATCCTACTACTGTTTATTTTAATCCTAGAGTATCAGAGCCAGAAGAGACCCTGCAGGACAAGTCTCTTGTGGTTTCTGAATAATGATCCTCAGACACATACTGTGATAAAGTTTTCACCCCTATTCTACAAAATGAGGACAATATGGAGAATGTAATCAGGTTTTTTATAATTTCATAAAATAAAATAGATTCTACTCCATTCTTCTACAAGTATGATCTCCCTATAATGTTGATACTAAAAATTGTTTTGTGAAAAGATGCTGATAAATAGAGGATAGTTGCTTCAATGCTCTTACATGGACATTAAAAATTAGAAATCTTGCCCAGGCCTGGTGGCTCACACTTGTAATCCCAGCGCTTTGGGAGGCTGAGGCGGGTGAATCACTTGAGGCCAGGAGTTTGAGACCAGCCTGGTCAACATGGTGAAACTTCATCTCTACTAAAAATACAAAATATTAGCCGGGTATGGTAGTACACACTTGTAGTCCCAGCTGCTTGGGAGACTGAGGCAGGAGAATTGCTTGAGCCTGGGAGTCGGAGGTTGTAGTGAGCCAAGATCGTGCCATTGCATTCCAGCCTGGGCTATGCAGTGAGACTGTTTCAAAAAATAAAAATTAGAAATCTCAGGTTTAATTATTTTTTTACATTTTATGACCTGCGAAATACAAAAGCCTGGGAACCACTGAATAGTCAAATCTCTTCTCTCATAATAGAAACAGTTAAGGCTCAGAGGTAGAGAAATGAGTGG